CCAATATCACTCACGTCCTGTATTGGAAACTACCGCCCAATATCACTCACGTCCTGTATTGGAAACTACCGCCCAATATCACTCACGTCCTGTATTGGAAACTACCGTCCAATATCACTCACGTCCTGTATTGGAAACTACCGTCCAATATCACTCACGTCCTGTATTGGAAACTACCGTCCAATATCACTTACGTCCTGTATTGGCAAGCTCTGTGAAAGAATCCTCAATTCTCGTCTTTATTGGTGGCTTGAGTCTTCAGGTCTGATGTCAGAGTGTCAAGCAGGGTTCAGGTCAAAAGGCAGAACAGAAGACCAGCTCTTTAAGCTTACACAGAAAATCATTGATGGATTTCAAAGAAGGGAACAGACAATGACTGTGTTTGTGGATCTCCAACAAGCCTACAATAGAGTGTGGAGGAAAGGACTACTCTTAAAACTGCAGAGCATGGGAATCAAGGGAAACATATACTCCTGGATTAAATCATTCCTTACAGATAGACTTATCCTGACCCAGATGGATGAAACCCTATCTTCAAAAGCAGTACATGAGGAAGGACTCCCACAGGGATCTTCTATCAGCTGTACCTTATGCCTTGTCTTCCTCAATGATGTTTCGGATGTTCTCAAAACAGAAAAAGACCTTTTTTGCTGATGACCTGGTCCTTTGGCACACTGGAAACTCGACAACAATAAACAGACGAACACTACAATATGATCTAAATTCCCTAGGAACCTATTGCCGTTCATGGAAGATGAAAGTAAATTGCGAAAAAACTGTCTACTCTGTCTTTATGAGAAGCTATAACCTTGCAAATGCAGATATCCCTCTCAAAATAGATGGTACCAACTTGAAATAGGAGAATAACCCAGTGTATGTTGGAGTAGAAACTTGATAGCAAGCTCAACTTGAAACAACACACCAAAAACCTCAGGAAGAAGGCTATGAAGAGACTTAATCTCATCAAACGACTAGCCAGTGCCAACTGGGGATCAGACAAGAACACTCTGAGAGGCCTCTATTTAGGATATACCAGAGCTGTTTTTGATTATAATCTTGTTCTACAAAACATTTGCAGTAAAACTACAAAAAAATCAATGGGCACCATCTAAAACCAAGCTCTTCGTCTTATCTCTGGCAGAATGAGATCCTCACAGAATGCGGCCTGTGAAATCCACACAAATATTGAGCCTTTAGAAACTCCAAGAAAACGGGCAGCTTTCTATACGAAATATCTCAAAGACTAGAAAATAACCACCCGAATAGAATTCTTGTTGACAAGTGGAAACCTAATCAAAGACTAAAAAATGCAAAATCTGTACTTAATAAATAATAAATAGCATTTGTATAGCGAATATCCCCGCTCAACAACAGGCTCTATGCGCTTTACACTACA